CAATTATGTGTGTCTGTGTGAGTGTGTGTCTGTGTCATGGTGTGTGTGTGTGTCTGTGTCATGGTGTGTCTGTTTGTCTGTGTCATGGTGTGTGTGTGTCTGTCTGTGGCATGGTGTGTGTGTGTGTGTGTCTGTCTGTCATGGTGTGTGTCTGTCTGTGTCATGGTGTGTGTCTGTGTCATGGTGTGTGTGTGTCTGTGTCATCATGTGTGTGTCAAGGTGTGTGTGTGTCAAGGTGTGTGTGTGTCTGTCTGTGTCATGGTGTGTCTGTCTGTGTCATGCTGTGTGTGTGTTTCTGTCTGTGTCACGGCGTGTGTGTGTCTGTGTCACGGTCTGTCTATGTCATGGTGTGTGTGTCAAGGTGTGTGTGTGTGTCTGTCATGGTATGTGTCTGCCTGTGACATGGTGTGTGTGTCTGTCTGTGTCATGGTGTGTGTGTCTGTGTCATGGTGTGTGTGTGCGTATTTCTGTCTGTGTTATGGTGTGTGTCTGTCATGGTGTGTGTGTGTCTGTCATGGTATGTGTCAAGGTGTGTGTGCGTCATGGTGTGTGTGTGTGTCAAGGTGTGTGTGGCGGTCATGGTATGTGTGTGTCGGTCATGGTATGTGTGTGTGTCTGTGTGTGTTTTTAAAAATAATGTTTTAACTCACCTTCCCCGTCGTGCTGGTCTCCCCTCGACTGGCCCTGCCTCTATGGCTGAGATCATCAAGCGTGATGATCTCAGACAATCCGCACTGACACAGGAAGCACCTCTAGTGACCGTCTGAGTGTCTGTCACTTTTCTCTGAAAAGTCAGTGTTTACATTGAAAAGCCTCCAGGGACAGGCTATAGACACCAGAACCACTACATTAAGCTGTCTGTGTGTGTGCGCCTGCTAGTGAGTGGGCTTGCTTGCATGCATGTGTGTGTGTGTGTGCCTGCTAGTGAGTGAGCTTGTGTTTTTATGTCAATGAGCTTATGTATATCAGTAAGATTGTTTGTCTATGAGGCTGTGTATCAATGAGCTTGTGTGTGTCAGTGAGATTGTCTGTGTCTGCATGTGAGTATGCTTACTGTATAATTAAACGCTTTACTCTGAAAGGATCAATAGTTTATATTAGAAAAAACAAAATTATATTTTATATATATATATATATATAATTACTCAATCATCTGGGGTGGCAAGACATAGCCTTACATATTACATGCAACAATATATGGCGCAATGACTTATGGGGCTGGCATAGATTTTTTTTCCACGGCTGCTTTGTTTCCCCAGTCCGGCCCTGACTAGAAGTAACTAGAGCAGGCCCAATCGTATATTTCAAAGGTAACAATTGGTTTCTAGCACTTATTATATGATGAGAAAGGCAGGAAGAGGAAAGTAGCACCTTTTAAAGGTTCTCCAATACAGCTATATGTAACTAGAAAAGAGGACAAGGAGTGGAATATAGTGTAGTATGTTACTTATAGAAAGAAGAAAAAAACTAAAGAAATGCACTTACAGTGTATGGAGCTAGTATTTATCTCCAATTTCGTATGCCAGGGTGGTACAATCCCCACTTATGGATATATGGTGTCTTGATCCAATGGAGATTAATCTTAGAGTATGTAAAAGAAACAGGAAATAGCACCAATATAGTGTAGTATTGTACAGGGCCCTCAACCCCTCTGTTCCTGTGTGTCCATTTGTCTGGTTACAATTACGTGTCTGTTAGTCCACCCACTGTAAAGCACTGCAGAATTTGTGTGCACACTCACATTAATTTATATCCATTCCATCGACTTATAGCCACTCCATTAATGTAAGTGTGCACTTTTATATCCATTCCATCCAGTATATATACAATACTACACTATATTGGGGTTATTTTCTGCCTATGGATGTAGGTGGGGACTGTACCACCCAGGCGTACAAAATTGGAGCTAAATACTAGCTCAATACACTGTAAGTGCATTTCTTTCATTTTTTTTCCTACTCGTTTTTTTGTTTTTTTTTCCTCATTGTGGCACTTCCTCATTATTGCTCATTGTGTGAGGAGTCAAACCTTAATGACTAATTATAAAAATATTACGATTACGGTAAAAGAGGAGTTTAGATCAGGAGTGTTCAACCATCCAGTGGTTGTTTTTATTCTACAACATTTTCCAGAATTCTCTGACAGTAACTGTAGTTTAACAGCTGCTATAGCTGACATAGGAAAAAGAGAATAGTAGCCCAAAAAGTGCTGGAAGTTAAAGGATGAACGCCCCTGCATTAGATACCTAACAAAAATATTTATATAATCTATAATTTAATAATAACGTAATAATAATGACGCGAGTAGGGCATATATGCTAAACAGTGAGCAGCCAGTGGCTGCCCGCTATAATAAATCTTTGTGCTTCGGGTCGGGGCTTCAATTAAAAAATGGGTGTTGGACAGTTTACTGTCCACCCCTGTGCCCCCACAGTGGACTAATAATTAATTGAATGAAGTAGAAGGGACATTAATTAATATTATGGGTGGGACATAGTTTCCCCCCCTATGTCCTAACCTGTGGCATACAGGTGGGGGCTATATTTAAAATTAATAGGAAAGGACTTCCGTGTGATCAGCCAGTGGGGACGCTAATTAATAAACCATGAGTTGTGGGGGCTCTAATATTGATATTCATCAGTGAAAGTGCAGTTTTTGTGTGAAAAATGCAACAACAAAAAATATGAATGCTAACTTCGGTTAGGGATTGTGACTAAGTGTCTACTAAAAAAAGACATACTCCATTTTAAATACCCTGGGTTGTCTACGTTTGCAAATGGTATGCCATTATGGGGTTAATTTTCATTCCTGGGCTGCCAACAAACCAATCTGGTTCAAATAAAATTATGTTTCATAGATAAATATTTTGATGGGAAACGAAAGCCCTGTTTCTTCTGTACAAAATGATATAAAAAAAGTGTGGGGGCACTGAATAGGAAATAGGTGAATTATGGGTGAAGAGACTTATAGTGCAAATTCTAGATTTTGTTTACAATTTGTTTTGATCAGAAATTGTACAATTACCTCCGTCTTTTAGGGGTTAAGGGAATAAAACAAAAATTGAAAAATTATTAAGTAACGGTTGCTAGAGAAAGTTTAACCCCTTCCTCTCCACAGAGCCCGGCGGGAGGGGGGCACCCTCAGGGCACTATAATGCCAGGAAAACGAGTATGTTTTCCTGGCCCTATAGTGGTCCTTTAATCCAACATCTAGTGGCTGTCTTCCTGACAGCTGCTAGAGGCGCTTACGCGATGCTCAATGTGAAAAATCGCATTGAGCACGCAGAACGTCCATAGGAAAGCATTGAGTAATGCTTTCCTATGGGCGGTTTGAATGCGCGCGCGGATCTGGCCGTGCATGCGCATTCGGCTCCACTCGGGAGCTGACGTCAGAGGGGGTGGAGAGGTCACCAGCGCCGAGGGAGCCCGGCGCTGGATTAAGCTAAATGGCTGAAGGGGTTTTAACCCCTTCACCACCAATGGAGGGGGACCCTAAGGGTGGGGGGTCCTAAGGACTATACAGTGCCAGGAAAACAAGTTTGTTTTCCTGGCACTATAGTGGTCCTTTAAAGTTTCATTAAATCTTTAAATATTCTTCTCTGAATTGCTCTTGACAAATGAAATAAAGAATAAGCATTTTTTTTTAAAAGCACTCATAAGCAGACAGGATGCAAAAATAACAGCAAAACCATCTAATTTCTGACAGTTCTGATAGATGTCTCTCTGTGTACTGGTCATCCTGTTTGGCCCACATTTTTCTTTCTGTAGACAACACTGCTTGGATAAGCAAAAATTCCCAGAGAATGAGGTCGGAATCACAAGGAATGGAAATAGCACAAAAACCACAAGACACGAGGCATGTGAACAGGGATAAGTAACTTCTAGCATTGTGAGTGCTGTGCAGATTACAACTCTCATTATGTATAGCCAGCTCAATTTTTCTTCAACAGTGCTGTCAGTGTAATCAGTTTTAATTCATGTGACGCTTGCTAATCTCCTGTGGTTTTAATTAATCTCAAAGAGGATTCTTTACAGTGGACTGCCCTAGATTTAGGAAATTTATGGACAAGTCCATAGCTTACTAAAATGTAGCTCTCTAACTGTTTTCTATACATTTAAAACAGTTATCACACTTCTATATTATTATTATTATTATTATTATTGCCATTTAAATAGCGCCAACAGATTCCGTAGCGCTTTACAATATTATGAGAGGGAGAATTTAACTATAAATAGGACAATTACAAGAAAACTTACAGGAACGATAGGTTGAAGAGGACCCTGCTCAAACAAGCTTATTGGAATTTAACTTTTCATAAACTTAATACACAATACACAATTGATATAGAACATACAGGAGACACTATGCAATATGACGATGCTTGAAAATTTATAAAAAATATAGTTATCTTCTTAATTACAGGGTAATTTACTAAAGTCAGAACAGTGAATTTCATATTTAAAGGGACACTATAGTCACCTGAACAACTTTAGCTTAATGAAGCAGTTTTGGTGTATAGAACATCCCCCTACATCCTCACTGCTCAATCCTCTGCCATCTAGGAGTTAAATCCCTTTGTTTATGAACCCTAGTCACACCTCCCTGCATGTGACTTGCACAGCCTTCCATAAACACTTCCTGTAAAGAGAGCCCTATTTAGGCTTTCTTTATTGCAAGTTCTGTTTAATTAAGATTGTCTTATCCTCTGCTATGTTAATAGCTTGCTAGACCCTGCAAGAGCCTCCTGTATCTGATTAAAGTTCAATTTAGAGATTGAGATACAATTATTTAATGTAAATTACATCTGTTTGAAAGTGAAATCAGGTTTTTTTTTCATGCAGGCTCTGTCAATCATAGCCAGGGGAGGTGTGGCTAGGGCTGCATAAAGAGAAACAAAGTAATTTAACTCCTAAATGACAGTGAATTGAGCAGTGAAATTGCAGGGGAATGATCTATACACTAAAACTGCTTTATTTAGCAAAAGTAATTTAGGTGACTATAGTGTTCCTTCAAGGCCAAAGTAGCTGAGCTGAAGGAACTGACTTAGAGATCTTTTACAGTTCAGCTACTTTGACCTTAAATTTGAAATTTATTTTTAATTCACTTCGAATTCTCACTTCAGTAAATAACCCTGTTAATATAAAGAAGGTAATTCAAGGACATTATTATTTTTTAAATGTACATGGCACATCTAATTTTGTGGGCACAACCAAATATGACTTGTAAATTAGTCGAACCTCACAGTGCTATATACGGTGCGTGGACAGGTCTCTGGAAAGAATATGCATGCGCAGCATTTATATCTAGATGTCCTAGCATGCATTTTGTCTTCAAGGACTCTTTTTTTATGGCCTCATCATATTTCTGCAGAACCGGTACAAATACCCTGAAATGTAGATTGCAGTAAACTAATATAATTTCACTTTTTTAGGGATCTGAATCCTTTTGTTTTGTCATAATTCCAAATGCTATGCATCCCCACTACTATTACTGTTATAATTTTTTTCTTTCCTAAACCTCAGAAGTGAAGGGGTTAATAGTATCTTTCTCTAGCTCCCAGGTCAGAAATGGGTAAACCAGTTTATGTGAAATCTTGTGGGTGCCATTCGTAAAACTAAAATTCCTGGGAAAAATGATAGAAATACACAAGACGTAAGCAGAAAACATTTGTTTTGCACAGCTATAAGTACCATCATTGTATTTATCGTTCTCCTTTCTCTGTTCTTGTAAATGGACCAGCACTGAAATAGTTAAGAGAAGATCCTTCAATTTATCCATTGGTATCAATGCCTTTTTGTTTCTATGTAAACTAAATATTCTAATTGCTATAAAGAATAATTTCTTGACAACATCAGCAATACACAGCTCGCTTAAAAAGCTAAGAGGAAGTCTTGAGTGAAATTGCTTAGAAACATGAATCCCATTACTCTCTGCAGGTGACACTCAAAGGGGGTTACAAAGGACCTCCAGACACTACTCTTTTTCTCTAATAATATATAAGCCACACTCAGACTGTGGCAAACCACCAAATGGATATTATTGTGGAACTGCGTGAGTATCCCTGCTCATCCCCAATGCTCAGTTCAAAAGATTTTTCCTGTCACACCATGATAGGATTTGAGGTCCATGGCAGCTGGAGTGTCGGTGACTGCGTGTCCAGCATCCCTTGACAGCCATTTTCAAGACATGCTTTTTAAATAGTTGGACAAAGCAGGCCATGCTATAAGTCAATGTGCAGCATATTCCAAGTTCAATCTATCCCACATCTGTAACATATTGCATGACAGAAAATAAAGTTTTTATTGTCAGGGGAACATGCTTTTTGGCCATTAGATAGCTATTTCCGTTTTAGTTTTGTAAAGACCAGAATACACACACAAAAAACAAAACATTTATATATATTAAGCAAGCTTTCCAGAGAGCATTTCATAGAACTTGCATCACATTTCTGTTATCTGATAGTTATCGAGGCTAAAGGCAATCGGTCGGAGTTGATATGAATTTGTAGACTGTAATAAATTTTAAGGGACACCATAAAAATGTTGTGCTTTCCTAAATAAACATTGTCTAATTTACAGTTAAGCTATTTAAGAGCAAAATAGCTGTTTGATTTAATTAAAGCTTAATTAATATTTAAATGTTTTCTTAGGACACAAATTATTACTTAATCCTTTACTTTGCTGAGCAAAAAGCTAAATCTCTATTGTTTTCATTTTGTTGAAGGTTTAAACAGAGGTAAATGAAGACTTATCAAAGTGTTGCAGAGTTTTGCACCTCTTTTTTTCAGGGAAAAAGCAGTGTTTACATTTTCACCTCCATCTTCAGATTGCCTCTGGAGGTACTTCCTGGGGCAGTGCTGCACAGTAGGCAACACTGCTGTTCAGTGTCTCCAGAAATGTCCTCATGGAGATGCATTGATTCATGAGGAGATGCTGATTGGCCAAGACGGCGTTTAGAAAGCATTGGATTGGCTAAAAATCATAAATTCTGTTGATGTCAGAAAGGAAGCAGATCAGGGACGGGTTGCAGTGCCTGCGGACCCGCGCGGCGCTGGAAATCAGGTATGTTTTATTACCTTTTAAGGGAGTTAACAGGGGGCAAGTCAGCTAAATGGTGGCTTTAACACTAAAGGGTCAGGAATACATGTTTCTATTCCTGACCCTAAAGTGTTCTTTTAATTTTACTCTACTTTTCTCTGGCACAACAGATTTATCAATCTTTCCATCTCTTTTCCTGTCATATAAGTGGTCTGTTTGAGCTTTCCTTTTCACGCCACTTCATTTTTGGTGTTTGCTTAATAAACATTAAATTCATTGGATTTCTGATGACTCTCTTAATGTTCTACGTTAATGTGGACAGTCTCAAGTAAAAGTTACATGTAACAAAATTCACAGGTTACACGCTTCATACAAAACTTGCTCATTAGAAAATTCAATTGACATTTTTTTTACACAAATTAATAGTAAATACTGGCAAATAATTAATCCCGCACAAATAGGCCATAGGAAGCATAACACACAAATGCAGAATCAACCGGGAATAATCACAGGAGACTTGCAAAACGGTGGGAAATTGATGGAATTTAAGACTAAAAAAGATCTCTTTAATAAATACAAACAGGGTACAGACCAAAAATGAAAGACGCTTTGCAGTTGACTTTGATAAATTTCCCCTAGTGTATCATCAAAGAGATATTACTGATTATACAATGTTTATAGCAAAGTAGTTAGATAAGATTTAGCTGACTGTGAAAGACACAAAGAGATATAAACACATGTAACGTATATATTTACATAAACATTGAAAAGTATGAAATTCATCATCATTTTGTTTTAGAAGTATATTACAATAATCTGTGCTTTAAATAAAAGAGCATTATTTAAAACCCCCAAGATAGTGTTTGATTAATTAATTGTTTCAATTGAATGGAATTCATTCTGTGATATCAACATACCGTAATCCCAGAAATTATTTTAGAATTTAGAATGTCTGTGAAGCTAACCAGTGGTGTTACAATCCCATTAAAGAGGCGTACATAGAAACATCACACTTTCAGATGACCCAACACTGGCTGGGTGTCGGAGTGTGATCTATCCTCACAATGAGGAAGTGTCACATTGAGATCAGCTAACTTGAAAGGGTTGTGAGTTCCATGTAATCTTCATGTGAGTGCCTTTAGTGTCTGTAGAGGGGTGAAGTCACATGCTGGAGTTTTGACATAGTTGATCTTTAACTTTGTGGGAGAGCAGATTTGTCCATTTAACCCTTACAATCATAAAAGCTTCCTATGTACATAGAGACAACTTTTGGGGTAGAGCAAAGCCTCCCTCCTTCACCCACTAATAAGAAGCAGAACAAAAACAACGCTCTCAAGACTATTCAGAGGAATTTCAGATTTAAAGGACCACTCTAGGCACCCAGACCACTTCAGCTTAATGAAGTGGTCTGGGTGCCAGGTCCTTCTAGGGTTAACCCATTTTTTTTATAAACATAGCAGTTTCAGAGAAACTGCTATGTTTATGAATGGGTTAAGCCTTCCCCCTAATCCTCTAGTGGCTGTCTCATTGACAGCCACTAGAGGCGCTTGCGTGCTTCTCACTGTGATTTTCACAGGGAGAGCACGCCAGCGTCCACAGGAAAGCATTATAAATGCTTTCCTATGCGACGGGCTGAATGCGCGCGCAGCTCTTGCTGCGCGTGCGCATTCAGCCCAGGAGGAGGATCGGAGGAGGAGAGCTCCCCGCCCAGCGCTGGAAAAAGGTAAGTTTAACCCCTTTTCCCCCTTCCAGAGCCGGGCGGGAGGGGGACCCTGAGGGTGGAGGCACCCTCAGGGCACTATAGTGCCAGGAAAACGAGTATGTTTTCCTGGCACTATAGTGGTCCTTTAAGACCAAATTATTTAGAACTTTAATTATCCAACTCATTTTCCAGCTTGGTTATTTGGCATATATAGTTTTGAGTTTCATCATCAATTAAAAGCAAAACAACATTTTCTCTAGCGGCTGTCTCATTGACAGCCGCTAGAGGCGCTTGCGTGCTTCTCACTGTGATTTTCACATTGAGAGCACGCAAGCGTCCATAGGAAAGCATTGATAATGCTTTCCTATGTGACCGGCTGAATGCGCGCGCAGCTCTTGCCGCGCGTGCGCATTCAGCCGACGGGGAGGAGAAGAGGAGGATCGGAGGAGGAGAGCTCCCCGCCCAGCACTGGAAAAAGGTAAATTTTAACCCCTTTCCCCCTTCCAGAGGGGGGGGGGCACCCTCAGGGCACTATAGTGCCAGGAAAACGAGTATGTTTTCCTGGCACTATAGTGGTCGTTTAAGGTTGGGTCCAAGAAGTTCCTATGAAATGCTGCACATACAGAGATTAATCCGTCTGCTGCCAGAGGTGTAACGCAATCTGCAGTAGCATCATAGGGGCATCATTAGCCAGTTAACTAGAGTTCCAGGCTAACTAACATCATTTCTGCGCAAAATTGGGTCTAGCTCCAACGCTCACAGTATATTGGTGCCAGACAGCCAATGGTGGCATGCCCCCTCCTCCGTGCTGTCCCTGTCCTCACCTCTGTCCACACTCCCTGACCTCCCTCTCCCTCCGGCACGATCTACTGACATCAGTTGAAGGAAGATCCGACTGAGGTGAGAACATGGCCTTGGCACTGGCAAAAACATATGTTCAAGCTGTTTTTTTTTTTTTTGTGCGAAAACACTGTTTTTTGGCTGCAGTAACCTTTTAAAGGGTTACACCAAGCATTATAACAACTACATTCCACCATAGTGGTTATGATGCCAGAAATAGCCTGGTGCCTTTTGATGGTAATGGACCATACCATTTTCCAAAGGTTTGCTCACTTACAGACTTGACAAGGTCCAGTGTGGTAGAATAAAATTCTTAAATCTGGTGTTGCAGCCTTTTTATTTCAATTTCACACTCTCTTATTTAGATCTTGCCAGGTCCTAAGCCTCCTATAATTTAGAGTGATGTGCATCCAGCTTTCGCAGAGCTGCAGGAGCCAAATGCTGAAACCACCAGTAATTCCCAATCCCCTTGAATGTAAGCTTGTTTGAACAAGGCCCTTCAGAGCCTCTG